ATACAACCACTGCGGCGGTAAACAAATTGCCACCGTCACAAATCCTGAGACTAAGAATTAGGAACTGAACTCACCCTTAAACTCATGACTGCAGGGTTTCCCCACAAGGTCCTGGAAAAACTGTAAACTAGAAACAGAAGAGACAAATAAGTGCATAGCTAGAAAGAGAATTTCAGTTATTAATAAACACATAAGCAACAAACAAAAAAGATCATGTCATCTGCACTGAATATAAAAGAGAATGAGGTATAATAATTTTAGGGCATGAGAGATCAACTTTAAGTCGGGTTTACTATTGACCCCATTTACGGCTTACTAGACATTTAAAGCTTGCTTATATCACAACTGCAGTCTATTATCCAGCACCACAATCCCCGCTGTATGACAAACATCTACAGGTTATTGACAAGTAAGCAACCCCCTCACTGGATTTTAAGAATGCTGAACATAGTTTTTAAACAAGACGCCCAACATTGTTGTCTAGACAAGAAAATCATTGGCATCTCGCTACATCACAAGTGCACCATGCTCACAAAGCTTCTCGACACTATGATCACTACAATGCAACCTAAGCAGGCAGCTAGCTAGGTGTCAACAGTTAGAACGCTCAGTAGGTTTTTTTGACTGTGCTGCTCATAAATGCCGCCTAGATAGGTCAGATCACTATGTTTCGAGACACAACCAAAATCTCACAACAATATCAACCGGTGCGCTTATAAAAGTGAGCTTGAACTCATTAGCACAGCTATCATCGGCTTACACTACACACACACCCTCCTAACATCCCATAATATGGACTTCAGGTCTGCTCAGGGTGTATGAGATCATGTTTACCAGCATGTAACACACATTACATTCTTTGTAACACACACTGATAAGAATAAACATGCTAATGCTAACCCAGCTAACTGTTAGCACACTGACGCTACATTAATGGAAATTACCCAAGTGCCCGAGAAAGTGCCTTACATATCCACGCACAGAAGCGAAAGACTTTATATCCTTTATTTGGTAAGTGGTAAGCTTAGACCTAGGTTTATTGGTTGAACTTTAAGTCATGAGTCTTGAACGCGCACTAGCTGTGGACATTCACGATGAGGAGAAGATGATTTCGACAATCACCCGCGACGATACCGCCCAAATAAAATGCATATCACTTTATTTTCATCCCCACTTCCCATCGGACTGCTAAACTCTTACTCACAACTCATTTTTGCCGGATTTGTCCCAGTTTTTGATCCAGTCAGACGGGAGGATCAGCGCCGCCATCTTCCTCCTCACGCACTCGCTCGCTCGCAGCAGCGGGAGTTTCTTCTTCTTCTTCTTCTTCTTGGCTTTTAACGGCGGCTGGCAACCAGCGTAATTAGGTGCATTGCAGCGGGAGTTTAGCGCGCAGATGCGGCGTAGTCTTCTTCTTCTTTGATGTTTAACGGCGGTTGGCATCCAACTTCAATGGTGCATTACCGCCACCTACTGTACTGGAGTGTGGAACGGCGCTAGCGCTAGAGAATAAATTATATCCATCCTGAAGGGAGACTTTCCTTCTCCCTTCTTCCCCTTTTATACCAGTAATAAATTCCAATGCTGTAACCTATATCATATTTGCTACACCAGCGTCCTTTAGGAAGCTAAATAAATGTGAACTAATGTCATTTGATGTTTTTCCTAGTATTCCCTAAAGTGAATTCCCTTGAACCCCCAATTTCCAAAGCTTTCTTTCAACTTTATCTTTTCACAATTATACTTTTCGACATTCAAGCACCACATGTTCAACAGATTCAATACTGTTACAAAATCCACATCTTCCTGATAAATGTTTACCGATAATATGTAAGCTCTTATTTGCGCAGATGCGTCAGATTGATAGAGTCCATTTCATTTTTAAGTCATTTAATAGCTCCATTTAATTACATTTTTAAATTATTGAAGCCAGAAAAAATTTAATTTTGTAAATAATACTTTACTTTGCTATGTTTCACACGTTGCTAGCAACAGCAAGTACAAAATTGATAATCAGCTTTAGAGAGAGAGAAAGAAAAACTGAAATAAATATAGGACACAAAAGTCTTTTATCATCTTTTTAACATTTATTTTTTCCCGTATTCCGTATACTTGTTTTTCTCCCATTTCTTTTATTTCCACAGACATGTTCATAATTTCTTTATTGGCTTAATATATTTATTTGTTTTCTATGTTGTGTAATTCGGGAATGCACGTACTTTTCTCAGCAATCATGAATAAAGATCGGCTTGTGATTTAAAAAAAAAACCGTTAGTGGCACCATTAGGCTTTTATTTTGAAAATACTAACGTATTTTCGAGCTTTTGTCTTGTCGCTTGAGACTTTTATTGTGGAATTGCTCCCCGGACACTTCCGCATCGCTGAGCTCCACCAATAGGAAGCGGACAGGAGTTGCAGGACCGTCGTGGGCGCAGTGGCAGCTTCAGAAATGTTTTATAAACTTTTGATAGTTGTTTTCCTCGCTGTTAGTTTACAGGGCACGCCGTCAGATGGACAGAAAAAGAAGGAGGTCAGTGGACTTGAATTGGGTTTTTATCAAATGGTTTTTATCCCTCATATACACTGAGCTCATTGGTTACTCAAATGATGTGATGGCTCTCATAGACTCGCTCGGTCTCACAACCACAAGGGATTAAATGACACATTATTGTTTTATGCATTTTTAGAACACTGTGGTCCATCTTTAAATCACTTGAAATGAATTACTGATCTCGATTTTACTCTGTGTGTTGTGAGGTGACACACTTGGCCCTGTATGCAAACTAAGCTAAGCTTCCTGCTGTACAGCTGACTTCATGTGTTATTACTGCTTTGTGTTGTTCATGCTAGTATGCATGTAATATAGGGCAATAACGTGAGCTTACTGCATAAAGACTGAAGCGGTGATAAATATGCTGATTGCATGTTGCTGAAAGCATGATCTGAATGAATGTGTGATCTGTGTGTTTTCAGACCCTGCTGTCAGAGAAGGTCAGTCAGATGATGGAGTGGGCCAGTAAGCGTGCAGTGATCCGGATGAACGGAGAGAAGTTCAGGAGGCTGATCCGGGCCCCTCCACGAAACTACTCCGTCGTCATCATGTTCACAGCGCTGCAGCCACAGAGACAGTGTGCAGTCTGCAAGTGAGAGACCTGACAACACAGGCACCATAACGCCTTAGGCTGCTGTCTAGCCGTGTCCTTATTGTTAGTAAAGCTATTAAAAACCTGAAATAAAATGAAACATTTAGCCCCGGCCACGAGTTGAAGTAAATAGAAATATTTAAAGCTATTCAAAACTAAAAATAAATATTTAAAATAATAATAATCATAATTTGCAAAATACATAACAGAGTTACTAAAACGTAGAACTAAAAATAAAAATGAAAACCGTTTTTCCCACCGGTGGCAGATGAGGAGAGTGTTCAGGAAACCAAATTGAATAGCCGAAAGTCGCTATTTTTGCATTTCCATTTGTTGCTGCTGCACAGAAATGGCATGCTTGACACTGAAACCTAAAACCTTTGCACTCAATTATTTGTGTTGTATAAAACTTGATATTTTTTGACACTTTTGTTTGTTTTCAGACAGGCGGATGAAGAGTACCAGATCCTTGCGAACTCTTGGCGTTATTCGAATGCATTTACTAACAGGATTTTCTTTGCAACGGTGGATTTTGATGAAGGCTCAGATGTTTTCCAGATGGTAACTACCCTCAATATGTTTTACATGTGTACTCCACCTCATATATTGCTGTTTTAAAGAGAACAGAGCATAAAACAACATGAAAAGCAGTGTTTGCTTCCATAACGTGATATGTTTTGAAGTGAAACAACATAATCTGGGGCAGGACTTGACTTTATCTATTAGAAATGTATTGCATATATGCATCTGAATGTGATGCCTGTGGGTTAACATTAACCTATCGCTCACAAGGACTGGGTGAGGTCTGTGTTAAAAGGTAAGTTGTTTCAGAGGCATTGCAATAAATTGCATTGCATTGTGATTGATGTTGATATTAAGAAGCATTAAACATCTTGATCATTTCCATCATTCATCATGTATGTCCTCTACAGCTCAACATGAACTCGGCTCCGACGTTCATCAACTTCCCGGCCAAAGGCAAACCGAAGCGAGCCGACACGTACGAGCTGCAGGTCCGAGGCTTTGCGGCCGAACAGCTGGCTCGGTGGGTGGCCGACCGAACAGACGTGCATGTGAGACTAGTGCAGACACATCCAGAATCTGAGCTGAACGCTCACATCAGGCTTTAACATGCTGTCGCGTGTCGTTCAGATCCGGGTGATCAGGCCTCCGAACTACGCCGGGCCGCTGATGCTGGGTTTGCTGCTGGCGTTCATCGGCAGTCTGGCTTACTTGCGCCGCAACAACCTGGAGTTCCTGTTCAATAAGAACGTCTGGGCTTTCTCTGCACTGGTGGGCACCTGTGTTTTATAACGCAAAGATGAGACTTTAATATGTGAGCCTGGAGCACAAAAGCAGTCTTAAGTCGCTGGGGTATATTTGTAGCAATAGCCAAAAATACATTGTATGGGTCAAAATTATAAATTTTTCTTTTATGCCAAAAATCATTAGGATATTAAGTAAAGATCATGTTCCATGAAGATATTTTGTAAATTTCCTACCGTAAATATATCAAAACTTAATTTTTGATTATTAATATGCATAAGTCACCTACATCTTGGATGCCCTGGGGGTAAGCAGATAAACATCATCAGGGGTGAACTATCCCTTTAATTTGGACAAATTTAAAGATGATTTTCTCAATATTTAGATTTTTTTGCACCCTCAGATTCCAGATTTTCTTATTGTCCTATCCTAACAAACCATACATCAATGGAGAACTTATGTATTCAGCTTTCAGTTGATGTATAAATCTCAAATTAAAAAAATTGACCCTTATGACTGGTTTTGTGGTCCAGGGTCACATATCACACCAATTGGTCTTAAATATCTCATTTAGTATCTATTTTAAGTTTTAATAACTCAGGTATGGTTATCATTATGAAAATAGCCACAGAAGCTTGCATGGCATTCAAACACTATGCAAACATGTGTAGCGTGTTCTAGTAAAATGGAATTGATTCGAATTAAATGAATAATAGAATGGAAATGGAATTGTCTGCCGGATGAAAATTACAGAATACAGTAGAGACCCAAGCAATATCTAGAGTCCTTGTGTGCTCTTTATTTATATCTACTGTTTGTTTAACTCTAAGCAAATTAGCAGCTTCATAGCAATGCATTAACAACTGTTCTGAAAACATTAGAAACTGCATGGTGAGTTTTGAACAGGCAAGCATTTTTCATCTCTCTCTCTCTCTCTCTCTCTCTCTCTCTCTCTCTCTCTCTCTCTCTCTCTCTCTCTCTCTCTCTCTCTCTCTCTCTCTCTCTCTCTCTCTCTCTCTCTCTCTCTCTCTCTCTCTCTCTCTCTCTCTCTCTCTCTCTCTCTCTCTCTCTCTCGCTCTCTCGCTCTCTCTCTCTCGATCTAGTGCTTTGTTTTGTTCATGACATCTGGTCAAATGTGGAACCACATCCGAGGACCTCCATATGCTCACAAGAACCCAAACACTGGCCAAGTGGTTAGTAAAACCCTTACCTCACGTGCCTTTGTATATTTTTTTTGTTTGGTTTTATACTTTAAAGACCCCATGAAATGGCTTGACATGATAACCCCACTTTGCTGTGCTGATGTATTTCATATTGAGAATTGCTTGTCAGTTTTTTAAATATATATATATATATATATATATATAAATCTAGAGAGCATTTGATATCTTAAATGTGTGGATTTGATGAAAGTTTATTTTGTAAACTTGCATAATGCTAATATCCATAGACTAAAAGCCACAAAACATTTCAGTTTCTTGAGGTCTTTAAAGGGGTCATGACATGCCTTTTATTATTATTATTATTGCAAGTTTTGCTGTCATGTACAATAAAAATATATCTGCAAAACATTCTGCACTGTCATTCAGACGCTCAATCAGAAAATCGCTCAGTTGTTGGTCTTTTGTCTATTTTAAGGCTTGTCAGTAAACAGACACCGTTATGATTGAATAATGCCACTGCATCGCCTCACTGCACTGAAAAATAGATTTTTTTTTTTATGTCATGATCCCTTTAGTTTTCATTTGTTCAAGTTTTATTTCAAATGACAATGCATCTTTTTCATTTCAGAGTTACATCCACGGCAGCAGTCAGGCTCAGTTTGTGGCAGAGACTCACATTGTTCTTCTCTTCAGTATCCTTCACTGTTCTCAGATCAGTCACACTGCACAATTGCAGTTACATACTGAATAAAAGTATTAATTTCTCTTAAAACAAAAAAAATCATACTGACCCCACACTTTTGAACAGTAGTGGATCTGTACACATACAGTGGGTATAGAAAAGAATCAGCCCCCTTTAAAATAATCACATTTTGTTGCTTTGCAGCCTGAAATGAAGACGGACAAAGTTTTTGTTTTATGCAGCTGTATTTACTCAGTGTTAGCTTCAAACATCCTAAATGTGATTTTTTTTTAAAGGGGCTGATTCTTTTCTACACCCACTGTAGCTGGATATTAACATTTACATTTAGTAATTTAGCAGACGCTTTTATCCAAAGCGACTTACAAATGAAGACAATAGAAGCAGGTTTTTGTTTTATGCAGCTGTATTTACTCAGTGTTAGCTTCAAACATCCTAAATGTGATTTTTTTTTTAAAGGGGGCTGATTCTTTTCTACACCCACTGTAGCTGGATATTAACATTTACATTTAGTAATTTAGCAGACGCTTTTATCCAAAGCGACTTACAAATGAAGACAATAGAAGCAGTCAAAACTAACAAAAGAGCAACAATATATAAGTGCAAATGACAAGTCTCGGTTAGCCTAACGCAGTACACGTAGCAAGAGAGATATATATATATATACATTATATATATATTTACACAGTGCACCGCATAAATGAGTACACCCCCTTTGAATAAATATAAAATATGTATTTTCTTAATGATCACTAATATAATTAATATAATAATAATTGAAACATATTAAACATATACTTAATTAAAACAACAAAATATATGCCAATATGTTCTGTAAGATAAGTAAATTAGCCAATTTTGTTTAAATTAAGGATTGCAGAAATGAGTACACCCTAGATTTAATTCAGAAAATGTATAATATTCTAGTACTTAGTACACTGTGGGTACCAAGCACTTCTCTCTGTGCTCCTCCTCTAGCAACACCAGAACATTTTGGATGCGTTTGGATCCGAAATGATTGACTTGCTCTCATGAGACCAGAGTATGGATTCCCAGAAGTCTCTATTTTGTAAATATGGGCCCTGGAAGAGGTAGGTGCTACTTCTGCTATATTTTCACACTTAAAACAATAATTTGGTTTTCCTCTTGGACCACTGTCCTCTTTTATGCTAAGAAATAAGTCACCTGGCAGTTCTCTCCCGAGTGGTTCCACTGCTGCCAGCATTAAGTCTGAGTATGTTATTTAGTAACTTTCAGGAGGGTGTACTCATTTTTGCAGCACAAAATTGTATCACTTTGATAGGAAAATCTTATTTTGCTGAATAATTTTGGCATTCTTCTTTAATAATTGATCAAGCAGGCTTGTTGGAATATTGCATCTCCAAAGAACCCTAACATGTCTTCTAAGTAAAAAGTAATTTCTGAATTTGTAAAGTTTTAGAGGGGGTGTACTCATTTATGCTGTGCACTGTATGTATAATTGCGCTGCCTACAGTGTGTGATGCGTGGTTTGCGAGTGGTAGTGAAATTAGGGATCTGGAAACACATAGTAAGAATTGGTTATAAAATTGAAAACAGAAGGGAAACAAGTAGTAAGAAAAGAGAATGATTTAAAAGCGATACTTATGTTCCTTGCCGGTGTCCCTGCTCGGTGGAGTCCAACGGTAGAGTCTTCGGTCTTCACACGAGGGCTGCCGCGACTAAGCTTTTTATATACTAAGCTTTTTATATTCGTCTAACAAAACTCAAATTGAATTCAGCTGGACACACTTTCCTGTTTATCCACACAGTAAACCATGGATACTATTACTATTATTATTAATACTATGGTATTATAACCCATGGATCTGTTTGGCTGTGGTTTTATGTCTAGTTAGCACACAATCGTGCCGTGTTTCATGTCAGTCGTTCAGCCTGTCGTGATCGTGTTCCTGAACTCTGCTTCAGACGCTGCGGTGACTTTAGGAATGGTGCTGCTTCATGAGGCTGTGACCTCTGACCTGGACATTGGGAAGAGGAAAAGTATGCTGTCGAATGTCCTGTGCTCTATGGATTATGAATGCTTGATAAATCAGAGCAGGTTTAATTGTTGTCTTGTTTTCTCTGCAGTCATGTGTGTAGCAGGAATCGGGCTGGTGGTGCTGTTCTTCAGTTGGCTGCTCTCCATCTTTAGGGCCAAATATCACGGATATCCTTACAGGTGAGATCATTAGACTGCTGTTTAATAAACAGCTGGAAATATCAATGCAGAGGTCTGAGAGCACTAATGAAAATCCTTCGGTAATGCATTTTTTTTATTTAATGCAAAATTACAGATTATATAACTTGAGTCAAATTAATTCGAGAATTCCTTAGTATTTGCTCTTTCACTGTTTTGCTTCAATAACAGCAGCACAGGAGCTAAATCTAATGTGACTAATGATGTTCTAAGCATGATTTAAGATCTAAAGAGCATCTTGATCTTCAGTGGAAACCAAATCTGATGTCTGTGTCACATGATCAATGACACTACATTTGAATAGTGAGAGAAATGGTGCAGAATCTTAAATAAATATCATTATTCATTACCGTTCAAAAGTTTGGGATCGGTACATTTTTAATTTTTTTTCCTTTTTTTTTAATATAATTATTTTATTCAACAATGATGATCAAAAGTGACACTAAAGACATTTAAGATGTTAGAAAAGATTTCTCTTTCAAATATACGCTGTTCATTGAGCTTTCTATTCATCAAAAAATCCTGTTTCCACAAAAACAAAAAAAATGCAGCAGCTAAAACGGTTTTTCTTGACGAGCAAATAAGCATATTAGAATGATTTCTGAAGATCATGTGACACTGAAGACTGGAGTAATGATGCTGGAAATACAGCTTTGAAATCGCAGGAATAAATTACACTTTAAAATATATTCACAGAAAACAGTTTCTTCAAATTGTAATAATATTTCACATTTTTACAGTTTTTACTGTATTTTTGTTCAAATAAATGCAGCCTTACTGAGCAGAAGAGACTTCTTTCAAAAACAAGAAAATCTTACTGAACTCGAATGTTTGAATGATAGTCTAGAAAATCTATTAATGTGATCACACATTTAATTTAGGAATTTATTCATACAAATTATGACTTTATTTTTTGCATTTAATTTATTTACTGACATAAACGCCTTTTCTCTTTGTGCAGCTTCCTGCTTGGTTAAATGAAGACCCTCGGAGGAACTGTGGCAAATATTAATGCGCAAAGTGCCTTAATGTTTAAAACGAGTGATTGATTTGGTAAAGTTCTGCTTGAGCCTGTATGTGCCTTTTTGCTTTCTTTTTATATATTACAGATTAGATTTGAAAAGTTTTTAATGAAAGTTTGTTAAATTCATGCGATTTCTCTCCGTGAGTGGTGTAGTGTAAGGAAACGTGGTGTCGGTTACACAGAGGATAAACTGAAGCAGATACACTGTATGGCATCGCTTGCTAACTAGGTTTCTTAGCGAATCAAATGCAGTTTTATATTGAATTTGGTTCAAATGCGTAGATTTGGAAGACGCACAAAAGCAAGCAAGGTGTTTTCACTTCTACCTCATAAATGTGCATAGCGAGTGTCCAAAGTCAAATCAAAGTCGTCTAGCTTCTGAGGTGGTTCAGTATGAGATGGAGGGAAAGCTCAGGGTGAATGAAAGTGTCCTAAATGTGGAGTGTTTGCTGTTGTCCTGCCTCAGGTGATGATTTCTGCCATTAAAGGTGCCTTTGATTACTTGTTGCATTGTATTTCTTTTGATTGCTCATCCAGTTCAGCTTTGAGTCACTCAGTTAGACCACTTTCAACAGTGATACAGTACAATAACATTAGGTGCACTAAGTAATTATTGGTTCATGGCTATGTTTAGAACATTTCATTATGCTACCTACTAATTTTGCAGTATTCCTATATCTACTACTCTTGAGAACAATCTCTGAGGGTCTCAACTTGATCTTCCATTTCTGGTGTGACTCATAAACTGGTTAAAGGTTTGTTGTTTGATCAGACTGATAAAGTTAAAGGTTAAATATAGGCTACATAAATACATTCATAAATAAAACTACGAATGGTGGGAGTTTGGAGTGGATGGGGGGGTTTGAGAACTAATTATGAAAAAGTATATATAGTTTAATTACAAACTCCACTTTTTGCTGCATTTATACATTCAATTAGTTTAAATGCAAAATAACCATATTTACTTCGGAGATCTGAGAACTTGATTGCACGCACAGAATTAAACATGCATAATACATCGGCGCCGATGGCCTCGTGGGCAGCGTGCCAGGCGTCCCGAGTCCGAGTCCCAGCTCGTGGATCTTTCCCGATCCCACCCCCCTCTCTCTCTCTCTCTCACCCACTTCGCTTCCTGTCGACCTACTGTCCTATCTAAATAAAAGGCATACATCGCCAAAAATAAATCTTTTTTTAAAAACATGCATAATACTTAAGATCGTCTCATGAGATTCTACAACATTTGTTGCAAGTCCCTCTGGATTTGCAAAAATGCATTCAATGAAAAAAAAAATATGTTTAATGGTATTTTCATTGTCTGTCCAGTAGAGGGCAGTGCTGTCTCTGAACACCTCCATATCGAATAACACTTAGAAACGATGAGTCATGGAATAACAAACGACCTTTCTGATTTTTTTTCCTTTTATATTCTCATCAACCATAATTGCTAAAGTAAATGCACGAAAGTTAGCTTAGGTTTAACCACCGTCATAACATCATAAAGAGAAAACAGATGTAAATAGGATGCTGAACTCCATAGGCCTGGAAATATATTAGTATAAGCCATACCACCCATGTCACAATCATGAACATGTTTATAGTTATTTTGCTTACATTCATAGACATCCCCAATCTTTCCCAGTTGTTGTCTTGTCATATCTATCAATGTAAGTAAATGACTGGGATTGCACAACTAAAACAATCCTTTCTTGCTGTGTTGTCCTCTTTGTCTTAACAGGTGCTCTCAGGTAATTTGCAGCTGAAAATCTGCATGTTCTGGTTTAGATGTCAAGGAGCCAATCAGGCCAGACGTTGTGTTTAACTCCATATAAGGACAACCTTGAGTGCTCTCGGTAGTGAGCAGCGGGTGTTTCCCGTGCTGAAGGCACACATTGTTCCTCACAGGGACACTGCCTGGGCTAAATGTGTGCAGCTCTCCACACGCCACACAAATAACCACTGCTATGTGATGTTTACACGCCAAAATATAGAAGTAGCATCAATATGCATGCTTTCTACGGAAGCCCCGTTTTTTTTTCTTGCTTGTCTTCTAAATTTTTCTGTGTGCTTGACATAATAGCGTGTTGGTTTTTTTATTTTTCTGGAAGCAGCAAAAGCTTAGCGCAATCCTCAAGCGAATAGCTGTCTGGCAGTGATTGACAACTTGAGAAGGAGGCTGTCAGGTCTTCATCTTCTGTGTCGGAGACAATATAGAGACCCTGAGTACCTGGACACCTCCATGTCTACAGCAGGAAATGATTAAATATATGATTACGATGGCGACACCAGTCTCATTCAAAGGGCACTCTCAATACAATTACATTGTGAGAAAACAGAAAGCTTTTTGTTATGTTGAGATCACGAGAATATATTGTTATGTGGAGAGCAAAAGAAGTCAAGATTACAAGAAAACACATTTTTGTTACATGGAGATTGGTAGACATCATAACCGTGAGAAAACAAAGAAGGGAAAAATAATAAAGCATTTCCGTAGCTTTCACAGGTGTGAGGGGATTGACTTTCAGTTGTGTCAATGTGCAGCAAAGAATGTTTTGTTTTAGTGCAGTAATAATCCATCATAATCCACTATAGACATTCCCTCAGTGTCAATATAGCTTTTTAATAACCAGTTCTTATATTATAATTCTTGGACCTCATCATGTCTTGTATATATATATATATATATATATATATATGGAGAATGTTACTGGAAATCAAGAAGAAAATATATATAGATATAAAATATACTGTAGAAAGTCTCCCAGAGGTCCAAATGGAGCTGTACAGCACTCTCTTGTTGTGTGAAATGAGCCCTCGGGGATTGGGGCGGCGTTCAAATTCATGCCTGCATTGTTGAGATGTGCAGAAAAACACTTTTTAAGGTAACATTTTCTGAGAGCTCTTCCTGTATGACATAATCTCTTCCAGGCTTTCCTTTAGCCATGAATGAAAAGTGTTGTTTGGTGCTTGTTCGGAAGGCAGCGAAGCGTGCCAGCACATTTGTGAGGAAGGAAAAAACTGTGCAAATGCTTTTAGCAGGTTTGTGTACAAAACCGGAGTCAAACCGCTAGCAGGAGAATTCCTCGATCCCACTGTACACCAGATAACCCACACAAACCGCACAAATGAAATACAGCAAATAACATACTCATGCAACTCCAGCGTAATTAAAGGCATCTGATATCCTGAAAATCAGGTCTTGTTGTGAACACTCCCCCTTCAGGACACCTGTCTAATGAGGGCGGAGGCCACTGGGTATGAAAAGACATGAATTAAAGATAAAAACAGGTCCAGCTCAGTTTGAATGAAATGCAGCGTCACACCCTCGCCTCTCCGTCTCTGTTTGTGCTGTCTTGGTGTCTAGAGGCGTCCCTCCGCGTATATTATTGTAAAACCATGCCATGTGGCCTTTTAGTTTTGTGGCTGACAGAGACTTTTCTTTTTTTAATGATCCATGGCCTAACTGGGTGGGTCAAAAGACATAACAGCTCACCACAGTTTATAAGTCTTTGAGAAGACCACAAAACCAAACCAGCCTCTTTTGATCCAGTTCTTGTTAGATCAGCTTCAGTTTAAAGGGGTCATATGATGTTGCTAAAAAGAACATTATTTGGTGTATTGGTGTAATGAAATGTGTTTATGCGGTTTAAGGTTCAAAAAACACATTATTTTCCACATACTGTACATTATTGTTTCTCCTCTATGCCCCACCTTTCTGAAACGCGTCGATTTTTACAAAGCTCATCGGTCTGAAAAGCGAGGTGTGCTGTGATTGGCCAGCTATCCAGTGCGTTGTGATTGTGTGATAAAGTCACATTAGCTGCCACCGCTGGGGAAGCAGCACTGGCACACACACACACACACACACACACACACACACATACACACCCGTATGGCGGGTTTACGATCCCAAGTGGGCTGATCCGAAGATGCCGAGCTTCCAGCAGGGGGAAGACATCGAGAATTATCTTTGGCGGTTTGAGCGTCTGGCCAGGACCTGGAGGTGGCCTAAGGAGGAGTGGAGCTATCGTCTGGTTCCGTTGCTGACAGGGCAAGCATTGGAGGTTCTGTTCAGTGCGTGCATAGGGACGTAAAGCAGTATCCCCAAGCTGAGGTAATGGTGGAAGTACAGGAACAAATGTACTTACTTAATGTTGCCATAGCGGACAATTTACCAGCTGATATGATTCTAGGAAGAAACTTGCCAGTATTATATGAACTCTTGCAACCCACCATCAAGGGCTCTGAACATTCTGTTGCAACTGTGACTGTTGATTTGTCATGTCCTGCTCTTACTAGAGCTCAAGCCAGGGCAGGTCTTCAGCCACTGCCAGACTTGGATGGTAGTCTGTTGCAGGGCGGGACTAAAGGCCCTAAAAAGTCACGGCGCCAACGGTGGCTTGAGAAGTACCTGGGTACCCCAGCCTCTGAGGCCTCCATGGAGGGTCTTGAAGTTAATGGCTGGCAGGTCCCAGGGAACATAGCACAACTTCAAAGGGAAGATGAAACTCTGAAACCCTTATTTGTCAAAGCTGAGTGTGACAAACCATCAAATCTGTGCAATGAAGAATATGTAGTGAGGAATGAGGTGTTGTATGTGCGAACCAATGATGTGACACGTTTAATTGTACCATCTTGTTGTCATCCTCTTGTTCTGCACCTTGCACACACTGTTCCATGGGCTGGCCACCTGGGCCAACAGAAAACATATGCACGCATTAGCTCACGATTTTATTGGCCCACACTATACACTGATGTACAAACACACTGTAACACATGTGCCATCTGCCAAAAGACAAGTGCTGTGTCCCAGCGGGGCAGAGCACCACTGCAACCTCTCCCCATAATCTCTGCACCTTTTAGGCGGATCGCCATGGACGTTGTAGGGCCGTTGGAAAAGAGCAGTGCTGGACATCGCTACATCCTGGTAGTCAGCGACTATGCCACAAGGTATCCTGAGGCCTTCCCACTCCGTTCTATCACCACACCTAAGATCATCCATGCCCTGGTTCAACTCTTCTCCAGAGTCGGCATACCCGAGGAGATACTCACGGACCAGGGAACGAACTTCACCTCACGGCTGATGGGGCAGCTGAACAAGCAGTTGAGCATTACAGCCATCCGAACAACTCCATTCCACCCGCAGACGGACGGTCTTGTGGAGAGATTTAACCAAACTCTCAAGAACATGCTGCGGAAGTTTGTTGCAGACACAGGACGAGACTGGGACAAGTGGCTACCATTTGTTCTCTTTGCTTACCGAGAGGTACCCCAAGCTTCCACGGGATTCTCACCGTTCGAGCTTCTATATGGATGGCTGGTACAAGGACCCCTGGACCTGCTGAATAAAACCTGGGAGGAGGAACCTTTAAAGTGAATGAGATTCGGAGACATTTTGGAGAATTTGGGCATTTCAAGTACTTCAAGTAAGAGATGTACTTGTACTTGAGCTACAGAAACTGAAGTGAAATTCAAAGGGTATTCGCACAT